CTTCGTATAGTTCCTACAGGGAACGATTAATCATATGGTCATCCCTCGATAAGATTCCAAGTACATACAAAGAAAAAGGGATATTGTTTATTTTACTAGACATAAACATATCATTGAAATAGTAAAAGGCTTATGTCGAGACCAAAAAGAAACATTGCGATAATAATAATTTTCGCCAGTTCTTGAATGAAAAATAAATATTTTAAAATCATATGACATTAAAATGGCACAGTATCAATATTTAACTCAATAGAGCTTCAAGACGTATGAAAGAAGATATTCTTTCTCTTGTTGTTCAATTCTATTACATTTTGATAATAAAAAAAAATTTCTATTGAAATTAACATATGATTAATCATTTTTAAATTCGTCTTGCATATTTAGAATAAACACAAATTATTATTTAAAAGAATTTCTTGTTCAGCATTTTTATACATCTAAATATCTTTTTGTTTTAGTTTAATTAAAAGATTCTTTTATTCTTCTCTTCTTTTACTTCAAAATGGAATGATGAATGTTGAAAGTTTTCTACTATGTTGTCAAATATATGTCGTAGTAGAAATTAAAATTCAGTAGAATTTAAAATTTCAATTTCTACTAGGAGAAATTGAAAGACCAGGCAAATTTAAGTTGCACTAGTAGAAATTAAAATTTTAATTTCTACTATAGGAGAATTTTAAATTCTACTAGAAACTCATTCTATACAAGTATGTGAAGCTTTCTTATAATTGAGAATAAAATTAACCCTTATTCGAATGATACAATATGTAGAACGAAAAGAAAAAGGAAGATTTTTTTGAATATAGAATTTGAACTTCTCCCGTCAGTATCAAAAGAAAAAAATATTTGAATATTACATAAAATGAAACTATTTCATTCGCAATTTGATAAACCTATCGAATCTTTAGGCGAAAGATTTCGTTCAAAGTTTTTTATCACACAAACTGTTTATAATGACATCATATTACTAATAAAAGCTGAGTGGGGTAAAGCTATTTAAATTCTGGGTCCATAAACACTTTAAATTAGCTACCATTGGCGAAATACAAGTTGTTTATGGCATTAAATCAAATCATCCAGTGATCATAAGGGTTAATTTTATTTTCTATTATAGGAAAGCTTCACATACTTGTATAGAATGAGTTTCTAGTAGAATTTAAAATTCTCCTATAGTAGAAATTAAAATTTTAATTTCTACTAGTGCAACTTAAATTTGCCTGTTATTTCAATTTCTCCTAGTAGAATTTTAAATTCTACTGAATTTTAATTTCTACTACAACATATACAAAAAAATATTTGTATCTGAACAAAGAGAATACTTTTTTCCTTTAGGGAGGAAAGAAAATACTTAGAGCAGAAAGTTGTTCTTTTTTTACATCTGCAAAATAGTGAATATTTATAATAGTTACAGAAACATTTCATTCTTTTAAGTTTTATTTTAAATAATTTTATTATTTCTTTTTCAAATAAAGGTTTTGCTGAAGTTTAGGTAAATTCTATTTTTATGGTTAAAACTAAAATATTTGATTTTTATCTATTATTGATGAATGTCTCTCTCCTATTTTTTGTCTAAGATTAACTATTCTTGCTTTTCTAGATAATAATAATTATCTCTTTGTTATAAAATGCTATCATTAAAAAATTATTTTGTCAATTTAAATATATATGAATCATCGACTGATTCAACAGCAACAGATGAAGAAAAAGAATATGAACGTCGATTAAATATTATTTCAAGTCGAATATTTTTTATTGTTTTTATCATCGTTCTAATTGGACTTGTTATCTTTATAAAAACAAGAAATCAAAATACATTTATTATAGTTGAAAATCCTAATGAAAATCAATTCATAAATTTACCATCTGATGCTCGTTGTTTATGTTCTCGCGTATCAATATCCTATGGTAAATTTATTTCAATTCAAACACGATTTCATCAGATATGTTCAAGTGATTTTATATCTAATCGATGGATTAAAGCAATTCATATTGGATTAAATATAACTTATTTTTCTGCTTATGATTTTCGACCAGAAGTGAGTGCAATGTTTAAATCACTTGAAAGTTTTTGTCGACTTTCAAAAGATTATGCTATTCAAAGTATTGATTCATTTAATAACAATTTATTTATAAGTCAGGAAGTTTTAACAGAACCTGTATTTCAATCGCAAACAAATTTTATAATTGATCAATTTCTACTATCATCACCGATTGATTTCTTAACAGAATTAAAATTAATACAAAAAATGATAATCGGAAATCGTTTTGTATCTGCTCTTCAGACTAATTATTACCATTATCTTGATGCTTACACACATATCGATTTTCAAATTACAATGTTCAATCGAGTTTTCAGCATGATCAACAGAATGGATTAGCATGTGATTGTCGGATCGATATTAATTGTAAAATGGAAGCCGACATATGGCCAGAACCAGTGAATCCTTATCTTGAATATTTTTATCCATCGAATTATGAAAAAATCACGAAAATTCCTGGAATGTCACACGGCTGCTTACCAGTAAATTCAATTCTTCTTTCAACATTAGAATGTTTTTACAATCAAAAATGTTTAAATCGTCTTCTTTCATTATTGTCTGTAACTGAAAATTTTACGGTAATCTCCGAACTGAAACAAAATCGTTACCAATCAGATACAATAATTCAAACTATTGTTGACAATTTAATGATTGAAGAATGGATGATCGATATTTCTTACAAGAAATATTATAATCAATGTGCTCCTAAGTCATGTACTTACTTTAAGAATGAAAAATATGATTGGAAATTTGTATTAACACAATTAATTGGTTTATTGGGAAGTTTAATAATGGTATGTAGTTTTACTATTGAAATTATAGTTAAATTCATTCGACGACGACGACTACCACCACCTCAAAATAGAGAATCAATACCATGTAAGTGTAGTTGTTTGGTTTAGTAAATAGAGTATACTATCTAATTGCAACAAGATCTATTGAGTTGTTTATTCAGCAGATCTGTCTTCGCTGATCGTTATTGATTTGAAGGAATTTCTAAATCTACTTCGGTCCTTATAATGATTAAGCCAAAGATGAATCTTTACAGTATTTTAGATGTATAATTTTCTTCATAATAAAATATGTCTAGAGTAAGTTGAAATTCTTCAATCGAAATAATTATATTTTTTTTTCAAAAACATCTGTTTCATTCTCTCTAATTTCTTTTTCATCAAACTTCATTTCATTTACTAGAAAGCGCTACTACAACAATGTAACTTGTACTAACGCTGTCAATTTATTACAAACCAAATTTGAAAATGAATCATCATATAAACAGAAATATTAGCTCTCTCTCTGAAATCTAAGTCAAATTTTCAAGACTTGTAAATTAGCAATCACGTGTCAGATAAAAAAACATGTTTTTTTTTTATTATTGAGAAATAATACATATTGATCTTGAAAAAAATTCACATATATATGAGATCTTCTTGTTAACGATCATAAGTTATCTCACATATCGATCACATTGCCGCCTTTTACCGTACTAGAACATATTTTGGATTAAGTAAACAAAACTGGTTGGAAAGTTTTAGACCGGTTCCAACTTTGATTGTAAATACCACTTTGCTTTAGAGTTGAGATATAGATGAGTCGTGGTGTCACACGACTTCGTCACTTGATAGTATTGAACTTTTTAAATATTTTTATGTGAAACGTATGTGTTTCCACTTCTCGATTCTATTTTTCTATACACAGTAATCAATAAACAATAATGTGGCGATAAGAAATATAAATATTCTGAGTGGAATTTATGCAAATTACCTCATAGTTTTGCTTGGTAGTAGAAGTCTACTGAAAAGTTTTCTTACCCTTGGATAATGTTAATACATTCCACTATTAAATATTTCAAATGACCTGACGAAAAAAACATTATTGTACTTAAAACAAAAAAAGCATCAAACGAAGCCTTTTTTAGTTTTCACTGAATTTTTGTCATATATCATTGGGTATTAAATAAGAACGCGAAATCCCTTGAAGATTTTATAAGCTTATAAGCTTAATACAATATTTCTTCTGAATTTTCGAAATCAACAAAAAAGATTCTATAAAACACCTACTCAAAGTGTCGCAGCTGAATAATGTCTTATTAAATTATTCCATCTATGATTTAGTAAGAATTCCATTAAGCACAATTTTCAATGTTTTGATCCCATCGTAGATCTACTTATCAAACACTTTGGAATGCATTTTAAATGGTTTTTAGTCTCTATTCAGGTCATATATTTCAATAGTAGACTTCTGAAAAAATAGAGAATGATGTATTTATACTGGAATAATCTTTCAACTTCTTCAAGCGCCAAACCCAAAAGGGAGCAGTTCAACATGTTTTTGTATATTAATATCCTCAATCATAATTTTGATCACTTTATGGTATTTTTCTCAAAGTCAATTATTTAAAATTATTCATGATCTAAATTCTTGATCATTATCGTGTCTTTAACATAGTTCTTTAATAAAAACTTTTTCTCTTCATACTATTATCTATATTTCATTATATTTTTATGGCGATGGAATTACTCTAAATCAATATCGCTATCAATCACTGACAATTTTCGTCAGTCAATAGTAGTATAGACAGAAAATCACACATACTTTAAGAATATTAACGTTAGCAATCATTCCTTAAAATAGACTTAAATCATTAGTATGATATATAGTATTTTTTTTTTATTCTTTTATGTAGAAAGAAAGGTTTCTCAAACTTACTATGTGATACTGAAGTGTCGTCCTCAGTACTTTTGGATCATCTTAACTATATGATATCATTATAAAAATCGGTGCACAGAATATATAAAAGAAAGGAAAGGGATAGAACATCGAAATAATATGGATGAAGATATCTCTATATAAAGAATATTATGTCAGTATGATATAAGATAAGAGCACTATGTCTATTGGGATCTTCTAATAAGCTAGTTCAAAATGTTTGCTATACATACATCAAGAGAAAATTCATTTCGGAAAATTTCTCTAGATTTTCAAGTAATTCTTGCGAATGACAATTCAAACTTGTTTACACAATATTTTATTTGAATTTTTCTTAGTTGAAAAATACTGATAGTTAAATCATTTACAATACATAGCATTAGTCTTTATTCAGGTTGTTCAAATGGAAAAATAAATGAGTGAAGTTTTAATACGAAAAAAGTTTTTCATCTACTTGAATTGAAGTCGAACTATTTAAAATCTTATTGAATACATAATCTGTAAAAAGACTTTGAACGAGAGAAGGAAGTATCAATTGACGATGTTATGACTTCTTGGTAGTTGCGTTCATATATGACAAGATTAATTCTACTCTTAACAGTTTACATAGAAAGAAGAATGCCACAGCGAAAACAAAACTTTTTTATATGTTGAATGAAACGGTAATGAGAAAAATCTTTAATAGAAGATGACGATTCATTTTAAAACATGATCGAAACGCCATTGTATGATATAGAAGAATTGAGAATGCAAAAGAGGTATATACGAAGAAGTTCTCAGTTAATGAAGACTACAAGATATGTCAACATTTTATCTTAATAAAACCATTGTATTTATTCGGTTTGCTATGATGCAACAAACTTCTTAAGATTGAGAAATATATTTTTTAATGAAAAATCTCGATTTCGTATTACATATTTTGAGAAGGAAGGTAGAGTTTTGTGTAATAGGGCAAAGACTTTCTCTTTTAATAATGGTACACCGACATATTTGACTTGTTGATTATATTGATTAACTTCACTTACCATTGAAATCATGTTAACAAAATAACTATTTTTATCTGTTTTTCTTAATTAAAAATACAAAAATAAAATAATTTCTTTCTTTATTATATGTTTAGTACTAATAAAGATTAAAAGACTTTTGAAAAAAGCTTTAATTGAACTCAATATGTTTAAAAAACATGGTAGTAATCAACATCAAATCAATTATCAAAAAATTGCAACTCGATTTTATTTATTGTTTCTTCTGATTTTGCTTATTGTATTTAGTTTCTATTTATTATTAAATGAAGATCTTCAACAAACAACAATTCATCAACCATTGGAATTTCAATATAAACAACTTGAAGAACTTTATTCTTCAAATCTTTATTGTCCATGTTCAACAGTTTCAATGAGTTATTCAACTTTTATGACAATCGAACCTTACTTTCATCAAGTATGTTCAAGTGGTATGATAACAGATGCATGGATTAATTATACCAGGAGCACTGATGGGATAACCCCATTGTATGCAATGTTTGACTATCGGGTGAGTGCCGTATTCCTATTTCAGTTGTTGTCAATGTTTTGTCAACATGCTCAACAAACAGTTAATATTAGTATTAGAACATTTCTTCAGACACAATTTCTTTCTTCGCAAGTTATTTCTAACGATCGATTTGAAACTAAAGTTAATTCATCTATCAGTGATTTGAAATCTCAATCTATTGATCAATTTTTACAAACAGTTAAAATATTTCAAGGTGTATCACATGGAAATCAACTGATGAGCGAACAATTTCATTATTATATTCCTCGTATGAACTGGAATGATACAAAAATGATTCTTGAAATACAAGAATATTTCAATTGTTCATGTAGTCTATCTTCATCATGTCTTATCCCTATGGGTTTCTTTGACGCCAGCATATATTCTGAAGAGATTTACGAGACAATTCAGATAGTTCCAAATTTGTTTCTGGGCTGTTCTCAAATCGAAGGATTAATGAAATCAAGTTTAGAATGTTTTTATAATCTATCATGTGTGAATGAAGTAAATAAAAATTCTCGTCATCCTGCCGACTATTTTTTTAATTTTTCAAATTTAAATGAAAATCTTAATCTACCAAATGAAACAATTGAATCAATTATGAATAGACTTATGGTTGATTCTTGGAAATGGAATATTTCATTTTCTTCATATTATAATAGATGTTCTCCGTCATCATGTACATATGAATATATTAGTCGAAATGATTTATTTTTTGTTATAACAACAATTATTGGTATATTTGGTGGCTTATCTCTTGGCTTAAAACTACTTAATTTAGTTATTCTTCGATTTATTGAAAAAACAAATAATGATAATACTTTTAAGGGATTTATAAAAGTAATAAAAAGTTTATTTGTTTGTAATACTGAGCAACGTCTTGTTAATCGATTTCATTTCGTTTTTCTTTTACTACTATTATATTTCATATTTATATTTTCTGCTTTCAAATCAAAATCAGTTATTGTTCAAATAAAAAATCCATCGCTTTCAAATTATAAAGACTTAGTAAAAGATCATTCTTATTCTCTTCAATGTTCTTGTTCACAAATATCTATTCAATATGAAACGTTTCTTAATATTCAACCATATTTTCATGAATTATGTTCAAGTCAATTTATTTCGGATGAATGGATTCATTATCTTTATGGTGAAGGTGATCTTACTCGTCGATTTTCGTTCGATGATTATCGTTATTCAGCTCCTGGACAATTTCTTTCGCTTTCATCACTTTGTAAACTTAGTCAAGAAAAAGCAAATCGTATCGTCTCCCATTTACTGACAAGTTACCAGATTAATTCTCTGCTTTTATCTGAAGATCTTCTAATTGAAGAAGTTGAAACAATGCTAAACCAATTTCAATCAGCTACATCCAAATCATTTCTTAATACTTTGAATTTAATTCTTGAAATAATTGGTTCAAATATGATTTTTAGTGCATGGTTCACTAATTGGAAATATATTATTGAAACTGAATTGTCTACTTCTATTGCGCATACATTACCCATAAATTATGATGAATATAATTGTGGATTATCATTTAAATGTACTAAAAAATCAGGAGGTATGATGAGTGGTTGTTATCCATTAGAATCTATTCTTCAAACCAAACTTTCATGTTTTTATGATCAAAATTGTATTGATTCAAGTGGAAAGTTTACAGCATTAAATATATCAACGTTAGAAAAGAGCCAATTTAATTTAAATTCAACAATTGAATCAGTTATAAATCATTTAATGATTGAAGAGTATAAAAGTGATATATCATATGAAAATTATTTTAATCAATGTCAACCATCATCATGTTCATATTCTTATATTAAAACTCATGATATAACTCACACAATAGCATCTTTTGTTTCTCTTTATGCTGGATTAGCTATTATAACTCGCTGTTTAGCAATTCTGCTTGTTAAGGTTTATCGACATCAAACAAGTCGAATTAAACCTGAAGCTCTTCAACAAACTATTTAATATATATATATATATGTATCAAGAAAAGAAAAAACTAGAAATATTGAAAGAGAACTGAACTAATTACGTTAAAGCTTTTGGGGTGTGGGGTGTGAGTGGGTGTGGGGTGTGGGTGGGTGTGGGTGTGGGTGTTAATCTTCCGCTTACTGATGACCATACCAACACACCCACACCCACGCTCTAGGTATCCTTTGATTTTCACATGGGGTGCGAACCAGAAAGCAATGGGTTAGCAATTGCTACCCGTAAAAAAAAGTTTGAGGAAGCAATAAAAATTTATTATTTCCCCTAATTGTTCATTTATGCTTCATCAAAATATGTTATTCTGTGCATATATTCCTGAACTTGAGGGTGTGGGTATGGGTGGGTGTGAGTGTGGGTGTGGGTGTGGGTGGGTGTGGGGTGTGGGTGTGGGTGTGGGTGTGGGTGTGGGTGTGGGTCGGTGTGGGTGTGGGGTGTAGGTGTGGGTCGGTGTGGGTGTGGGTGTGGGTGTGGGTGTGGGTGTGGGTGTGGGTCGGTGTGGGTGTGGGGTGTAGGTGTGGGTCGGTGTGGGTGTGGGTGTGGGTGTGGGTGTGGGTGTGGGTGTGGGTCGGTGTGGGTGTGGGGTGT